GCCCATTTGGAGGCAGTTTATATAAAGCATTCAATACATGGATGGTTGGGCTTCAAACAGCTCTAATTAAGTAAATGGCTTTATGTCAATTCACTCTATAAGTGCTTTTTGACTCTTCATAATTTTTTCAGGAATTGCATGAAGAAGTTGTGTTTTTAAAAATTAATTAAAAATAATTCTGTGTTAATAAGTGGAAAGAAACTGAGAAGGTGAAAACTAAAAAAAAATTGTAAGGAGAGTAGTAATAGAATGTTAAAATTGTACAAGAAGAAACTTCTGGGTCTTTGTAGACATAGAAACTTCAAAATACTGTTCATGGGTTGCCCTATAAATTATGGGATGGGTTAAATATAAGCTCTAGCATATTCTAACCTATTCCAGTCTGCCCAGGGATCCCAGGGATTGGTCATCCACAGCCGTCATTGCCCACATAGTCTATCCCTCCTTGTCAACTTCTTCATATCCTCAATCTAAAATCCACACTACAGCAATAAACTAGCTTTTTACATGATATATGGTGTGATCATCTAAATGATTACTACTGGGGAATATGAATATGAAAATATGCATATTATACATTGGCCTTTGATAATCAATTATATTTATTGGTTTATTTATTTAACAAATAGCTTTATTAAGTCTTACTGGTAATTCATATTGAAGTTTGTTGCACCTGGTCAAGTGATAAATTATGCTTATATTTACTTTTTTTGTTCTCAAGAATAATGATTACTAGACTGTAGTCTCCTTAAAGGCATAGATAGATCATATTTTATACTTTATTGGTAACAAACACAGCTTGAAGAGCAGAACTGATTATGAAGTAGGTACTCAATAAATACTTGTTTGGTTTACTGATTTGCTTATGCATGTTCTTGGTGTTGACGATAAAATAAATTATTAGATTAAAAGTGATATTAGTAAATCTACCAATTCTTTTCCCTTTAGCCACAAAATGTCATGGTACAGTGAATCTGTATTAGGCAGTAGTTCTTAAGCTGGGCTTCAGAGGAAGTTCCCTTAACCCCCTGAAATTGTATTCAAACATTTTTTACACATTCATGTGTTCATTTTCCTGAAGAAAGGATCCATAGCTTTCGTCAGTTTCTTGGAAATCCATAGCTCCATAAACTGTTAGAATCACTGATACTAAACATATCTACCTGCACCCCAAATGTCAGCAATGATGACTAAGAAAGAAAAGCAGTCTTCTTTTGCTTTGTATAAACTATAACAACATTTTTTCTCTGATTTTGTTTTTTACCTTCCTAAAGATGTCTGATCTCCAGTCAAAATTAAGTTTTCCTAAATAGTATGTGGAATAAGGCAATGTTTAAAAACATGGATACAAACAGGATGACTTGAGGCTGCTTCTTGTTCCTGCGCTACACTCTGAACTGAGTTGGTACTTTCTTTCCAGGTGTAGGTCAAGGTGTTTTTTTATCATTTAAAATTCTAACAGACTAAGTGGACTGGGACCTAATTATGGCGGACATTACCTGTATCCTTACGTGTGCTCACAGCCACTAAAATCAACAGCATTTCAGCTAACGGTCCCTGCCTTCTCACTTCAGAGAATTTGGGGCAATGGGCTCCTAGCATGAGGAGTTGACTTTGGAATTCATTGTACATCTCACAGTCTAAAGGTATCAGTCTTTAAAGGTAGAAAGCCTTGTTTTTTTAATTTAGACTGACAAAACAGTTGCAATCAAATCAGTTTAGAATGTTTCTCCATAGGCCCCACACCTTCACCATCTTGTGTTTTTAAGTTAATGATTGACCAGTTTACTGCACGGCTGCAAAGTGAATAAAGCAGTTATGTTAAACAGCATTCCCTTTTTAGGACGAAAAATAGAACTTTTACAAATATGCTATTGATTTTAAATCCGGCTGATAAAAACATATAAAAATGGACCTCTCAGCTGTACATTTTATTACTACCTAGTACTTAAGTAGTAGGAGGGGCTATGGGTGGATAGCATATAATCCCAGTGGCTCCTCCAAACTTTTATGTTTAAGTTGGTCAGAAATACTATATATCCATGTTGTTATTCTATTATTTACCTTTTAAGTTAACATACATTAACTTATTACTTATAAGTTAACATACATTATTTTTAAGTTAACATACATTAAGATTGCTATATGCCTACATTCTTATTTTTAAATGTTGGTTTCTTATAAGTGTATTCATTCATTCATTTATTGAGACAGAGTCCTGCTCTGTCTTCCAGGCGGTAGTGCAGTGGCACCATCTTGGCTCATTGCAACCTCCACCTTCCACGTTCAAGTGCTTCTCCTGCCTCAGCCTCCCGAGTAGCTGGGACTACAGGTATGCATCATCAAACTCGGCTAATTTTTGTATTTTTAGTAGAGACGGGGTTTTACCATGTTGGTCAGGATGTTCTCAATCTCTTTACCTCGTGATCTGCCGGCCTTGGCCTCCCAAAGCGCTGGGATTAGAGGTGTGAGCCACCGCGCCCGGCTAAGTGTATGTATATACGTATGTATGTATGTATGTATTTATATTTCTTTGAGACAGAGTCTTGCTCTATCGCCAGGCGCCAGGCTGGAGTGCAGTGGCGCGTCAGCTCACTGCAACCTCCACCTCCCAGTTTCAAGCAACTCTCCTGCGTCCCCTCCTGAGTAGCTGGGACTACAGGCGTGTGCCACCACGCCCAGCTAATTTTTGTATTTTTTAAGTAGAGACGGGGTTTCATCATGTTGGTCAATCTCTTGACCTCGTGATCTACTCACCTCGGCCTCCCGAAATGCTGGGATTATAAGCGTGAGCCACCGCGCCCAGCCAAGTGTTATTTATTTTTACAAAGACACAACTGCCCCCTTTGGTGGTCATCAGAGAAGTTACAGCTTTATTAACATTAGGGCACCCACAAAGACAAGCACTTGGGAAGCTGTTAAAATTATAGAATTTCAACCTTCTGAAGGTTCACTGAAAATCAACTCTCAAAAGGCAGATTAATAGGAGAAAAGATATACAAAATTTATTTTCATTTGCATAACACAAGGGAATTGCAGAATAATTGCCCAATAACCCAATGGGGTACAGATGCTCATATATCCTTCCCAGGGGAAGAACAGAAAGGGAAATGTGGATGATTTTAAGGGGGATAGTAAAGAATTTTTGGTGGAATCCAATGAGCTTGGTAAACATACAATGGCCTGGGATAAAGTCTGTTGGGCCTGAAAGCAGTATGACAAAAGTATGTCCAGTTGTGTTGACAGGCTTCAATCTTTTGTCCTGGGATGTAAGTTAGATTAATAAAAACTCAGGGAAAGTAGGTGCATTCTTCTTTGGCAGGTCTGGTTTCTAGGTACATAAAAGACCTTCAGAGAACGACTTCACCCTGTGCTTTGGGTGAGACAGCAGACTGAGAGACAGGAGGCAGGGAGAAGGTCAAAGTGACCTTGCAGCTGCTTCTTTAGTCCAGCATGTCAAAGTGTCATATTTTCAGGTATCAATTTCTTTCAGCCCAACAAAACCCTAAGAGCAACTTTCTAAGGAAAATTAAGCTTTACAATTGTTTTGGAAAATTCTGACTCATACCCATTCTATAGGTTGACTGTCAAGCGTCCACTTTTGGCATTAGAGTTTTTCTGCTTCTTCTGCAAGTTTTAGAGCTACTTTTTCAAGTGAAAAATTTAAATATCTAAGCTTTCAACCTAACAAAAACTCCAATATCACAATAAATGTCTTCTAAGAAGATTGTAAATTGAGTGAAGGTAGAGAAGTCAGTTACAGGGACCCCCCACTAGAGACCACAAGGCAGCACCCAAATAAATCCATTTTAATTTTCATTTCATTTCAGTTATATTTCACAGCTGTGGTATCATTAGTGGAGAGAGAAGCAGCTCATAGGCGAGCCTAGTTCAAAGGAATTGAAATTTAGCATGGAATACAAAATTGAAGACTTCTGCCTCTGAGAGGATGATTGTAGAAATACTGAGGTTGAAGGATGTAGACTTGATGCTTCACCAGACAGCAGAATTAGCAGTCTGGGGTGATCCTGCATGTATTGGTCAGTGTCCATGAACACTACTCTTTACAAGAGAAAAATACCTGAGAAGCTATGAGAAGTGTGTATTCCTGGCCTGTCATGGTGGCTCATGCCTGTAATCCCAGCCCTTTGAGAGGCCAAGGTGCGCGGATCACTTGAGGTCAGGAGTTGGAGACCAGTCTGGCCAACATGGTGAACCCCCTCTCTATTAAAAATTCAAAAAAATTAGCTGGGTGTGGTGGCGGGTACCTGTAATCCCAGATACTGGGAAGCTAAGGTGGGAGAATCGCTTGAACCCAAGAAGCAGAGGTTGCAGTGAGTTGAGATCGTGCCATTGCACTCCAGCCTGGGCGACAGAGCAAGACTCCATCTCAAAAAAACAAAAACAAAACAATAAACAGTGTATTTCTCTTAAAATTCTTTCCTCCATCCTTCTGCTCTAGAAGGTGCAGTATAAACTGCTCATGAAGCGCGACTTTCACGTTTTGAGAGGTTAGGTTCCAAGCTTTGGCCCTCTCATACCCAGGGGATCCCACTGGGTTCCCTGCAGAGTGCTTCTGCGTGCACCCTTTGGTGCACAATGGATCAGTATTGTTGTCTTTCTTTGCGCTGGGGTTCTGACCGCCGGGGGGAAAATAACCACACACAGGGATATGGCATAAGTTAAAATCAAGTAAGCCTAGTGGGGTGGTAATGACTTTCCCAGCATCCAACTCTTTGCCTTCAGGTTATGTGAAGCTAGAAAAACAGTGTCATTCACTCAGCATTTACAGGGAGCTTACAGTGTACAGGGTACTATGCTAAGCACTGGAGGGCATGCAAAAGTATGCAAAACGCAATCCCTGCAACTGAGGATTCCTGCGAGGAAGGGTATTTCCAGTATTACTCAGACTTTAAGACCCTTGAAGAAATGCTTGGTTGAATAAAATTCCACTCAGAATTTAAAATAAGCAAGGAAAAGTATACCACTAGGACAGTATATCTTTTAAGAGGCAGGGCATGTAATGTGCTTTAAACATTTACTTCTAAGGTATTACAATGTAGTTGGGATGAAGGAGGAGCGAGAGTTGTGGGGTGGGATGACTCTTGGACGAACCTGATTTGAAGGAGGCACTGCTTGGATGCCTGCAAAGCTAAGTTGAATCCTAACAAAGAGGAGGCCGGCACTCTTATCTGGGAAGTGGATAACTTTGAGGAAAAGTAGCATCCAAAGAGGAAAAAAAGGCGACATGTTACCTGGGGTTAGGATCCCCTCACCCTTACCAACCTGCACGCTGACCGCACCCTGGCCGAGCCACTCTGGGCCGCACACAATCGCATCCTCTGCTCAGGCCGCGCGGCCCAATTCCACCATCTACCCGAAGCCCACAATCCTGGCACACGGCCGCTCTAGCCAGTAGTCAGCCACGTGCGCCCGGGTTCTCCTCTTGGCCCTTCAGCGGGCCCGGAGCCTCCAAGGTCGCCGTAGCAACCGGGTGGTCCCTCTCTCGGTTCCCCAGCGCCCAGCAGAGCAGTCCCGACCGCCGCGGCGGCGGCGGCGGGAGCGAGCGGCCTCGGCCCCTCCCGAGAGGGGGCAGCGCGACCGTGGGCTGCGGGCGCCGCCTCTGCTCTGCTGCATCGGTGGCTGGGCGCTCCGCTCCGCTCTGCCGGGCTGGGATCCGGACCCCGAGCGCGCCTCGCTGCCTTCCCCTTCTCCTCTGCTGCCGCCCCGTGGGCAGCTTCTCCAAGCAAGACGCGTGTTCGATCCTCCTTCCCCGCGTTTACGGATTTCCGGGAGCGCAGAATTTTGCCTCGGTCCCTACGAGCATCTCTCGGCCTCTCTCCCCCTCCCCTCGCGACTCCCCCACCCCGTGGGCGCGCGCGCGCGCACACACACACTCACATTTGCAGGCGCGCGTGCGCACGCCCGCGTGCCTCCAGCCGCGGAGTCTCCAGCGCCCCTCAGCAGATCCCGGCTCTCCCAGGCGCCGCTACTCACACAGGCTTCCAGCCGCCACGGGGCGTCCTCTGTCTGCTGCAGCGGCGGCGACGGCGGCGGCGGCGGCAGCGGAGGGAACGGCGACTGCAGCCCGGCCCCATCTCCCAGCTTCGTGCCCGGGACAGAGTCCGGGAGAAGCAAAGAAGGAGGACGCCGAGGCTAGGAGGAGCCGCGCCGCGCCCGGCGCCCCACTCCGCGCGGCGGGCTGCCTCCGCTCTCCATACGGCGCCCCCAGGTAAGCAGCTCCGGGGCCAGCAGCATCCCTGGGGCGTCCGGGCTCCGAGCCGGGGTCTTGTGGTCTCGCCCCCGCCAGGGCACCTGGATCTAGACTGGGAGAGGAGTGGGCGAGGGGGGAGGGGAGTGGAGCTAGAGGTGAAGCTGGTAAGGAGGGGTGCGTGGACGCGTGGGGGCTTCGGTGCAGCCCCCACACTCTTCCCCGCTGTGCCCTGGCTCAAGCTCCGTCACTTTTACTAGCTCGGGGGTGCCCCGCGCCCCAGACAGCTGTTCTTCGCTCTCCCAGCCGTCCGCCAGCCAGTGTCGGCTCCGGGCTCCGCGCCCGCCGCGCGCCAGTCACCTCCCCTGCACCTTGGACAGCGCACCCCGCGCCTGTCGCCCCCAGCGGGCGTCGCCCCCGGGACCCGGTCCTGCCCGCGCAGTGCTCCCGCTGCCCTCTTCTTTCCAGGTTGTCACCCTCCCGCCCTGCATCCCTGCTCCTCCAGCGGTGGCGGACTCCGCTCTGCTAGCCGGCCGGAAACTTTCCTCCCCGCCTGGTCTGCGCTGGGTACTATTGTTGTTATTTGTGATTGCCCCCTCTCCCGGGGAGCTCGGACACCTTGGACAGGTCTTACTCGGCGGGAGCGCGCCCAGCCAGGCCCCGCGCGAGGCAAAGGAGGCACTGAGGCAGCCGGACTCGGCCGCTGCTAAGGTGCAGAGCTCGTGCCTCGGCCCCTGGACGCCGGTCGCCTCCCCGCCTCTCCGGACCCGACACGTGCGCGCCTCCCACGGACGCGGCCCCTCCCAAACCACCCCACGTCCTCCCCCTGCACGGCCACAGCCACCCCATAGGTTGGACACCCGAGGCTCTCGAGTCCTGATTGGCTGAAGGCGTAAGCCCGCCCCCTTTCGGAGGGGGGTGGTTCTGGAGTGTTGTGGTTGTCATCCCGCGGCGAGCACATGGGGAAAGTGGGGTCGACAGGTGGGCAAGCCCAGCTCTGTGGAATCCCTGCGTCTCACTGTATAGTCACTGAGCCACGCTCCTTCACCCAGATACACTCCTGTTTCTCTCTTTTTCTCCCTCAATCTTTCACTGCTTTAACATTAAAAGAAAGAAACTTGGCTTTGTAATTATAATTTATTAAGATTGCATTTGTTTGGTGGTAGCAATTTTTAAAAGCAGACCTAGGAGAATTCAGGAAATAAGAGCATATGGAGAGAGAGGTTCGTGGCCAACTGGGCTGCAGATTTGAGTCTGGTAGTTTAGAGAAAGTAATGAAGGGTGCTTAAGGGATCTGAAGAAGGCTGATAAAGTGGGAAGGAAATTGATTCCTGAAGGAGAGAGACAGGTGAGCGAGCTTGGAAAGCTGAGAGAGGAGGAAGTGGGTCATTTGTGGGGTGAGATGTGAGGGAGAAGCCTGGTGGGCACTCTCAAGAGGTAGGTGCGTACTGTTGGAGAGAGATCTGTCAGGGAAAGTGGTAATATTGGCTGGTACTTAGCTCATGGTTAACACATTCTGCTTTTGTTTTGCTAGCGTTGCCCCTTTGATAGAGAATTTGTATTAATAATGTCTATTCATGTAATGGATATTGCTTATTCCAGTTGCGTGTAATATACAGAGTTGAAAGTGATAATGAATTTCAAAAAGTGGAAGGCCTCTTGGAAGGGATACCTTAAATAGTTAAAGTGCTTTCGGAATATTGTGAGGGAAGACGGATGAGCATTGCATAAAATGCAGATTGTTCTGGCGTTATTTAGAGCCTTTGAAGAAATATATGTGTATGTATAAATGATACTGATTTCTCTTCATTTCAAAGCGTGATTGCCTCTAGCATTTTCCAGCTTTAATTCCTTCAGGCTGTTTCGATGTTGTGTCTGTACATCTAAGAATATTGTAATTCTTGTCTTTAGAAGCCTTGTCAATGCAAAGCAAACAGCAACTGATGCAAGTTAATGTTGACAACTTTATATTGAGTACACTGTGTGTTATTTTATTTGTAAGCTATTGAAATATGCAAGAGTAACATAGCATGATTGTTGTTCCCCAGGGACCTATATCAAAACAAAGTGGGGAATCACATGAGGCTATTTCAGGGAGAACAATTCAATTATTTTTAAGATTAATAAAATTTAAGATTCTTGGGTGTAAACAGCAACACTCTTTGAATTATCTTTGTACATACTGGTAGCATATGATAGTAAAACAACATATTAAATGTATTACATGATTCCAAAGTAGATGGTAAAGGCTTCCCATTATTATTATTTTTATATAAGTAGACAGAATTGTTTTTCTGACTGGAGAACCTCCTATTCAGGAAACAGGATTTGATATATGTGATAAACTGGAAATTATTGCTGTTGTTAAGAAAGTAATTCTGTTTTTTTCTCTAGTACATGCCTTGATTTTCCTAAGGGATTCAGATTCAAGTTGTGGGCCTATTAAATTTATATGAGTTTGTATGTAGGGGAATGTATATAATCACATATGCATACAGGCAAAATGTTTGTATGTATATCAGCACACAGTTGTATATTTATGTACACATAATTTTAGGGTACATTCATTGTATTTATTCATATATATGTTATTGTCATCCTTGGAATTTTTTTCTCATTTCTTTTTGTCCAAAAGGTGGCCCTGTTTTAAACTGCAGAAAGCATTATCACCAGAAGAATTGGCCAATAGATCATGGAAACAGACAATAGTATTTTGTTGCCTGGCAACCACCTACTGTGAATGAAAAACAAAGCAGTGACAGCTGCTTCCACATCCTGATACTCACACTGTAGCCCAGGCATTGCAACCCTCCAAATGAGACAGATCCATTAAGTTTCATTTGAATAACGTGAAGCTTTTTTTTTTTTTTTTTTTTTTTTTTTTTTTTTGATATTTTAAAGGAATATTAAATGTTTTATTATAATAAGAATTATTGTGGGATGAAATGAAATATCTAACTTCAATTGCCCTCTTAAGCCTAGTATAAACTGAAAAATGCAAGATTGGGAGGATTGTTTAGACCCTTTTCATTTTTCCCTTTATAGTCATTAAACATCGTAAGCACGTTTTTCTGCTGCTGCTAGGTGCTCTTAGGATATTACAAAAACTCGAGTTTTCTATGGCAGGATTTTACTGTAGGAGAAAAGTAAAGACTGAGGCTCTAGCCTAACCCTTTAATTTTAAGGAACACTGAGGCATATCGAGATTTTTGTGACACAACCCTGGTGACAGACCCAGTCTCAGGATTTCTTCCCCTGGGTCACATTTGACCATTTCCCGCTCATTTCTGTCCTTAATTTTTCTTTCTTTGTTTTTATTTATATAAAATTTGCAATGAATATTTTTATCTTAATAAAAATCTAACATTGTAATTTCTCTTTTCATACTTAGAAAATACAGTACCATTTGAGAGTAAAAATTCAGCATTGACATGCTAGGCTAGATTGTGGTCTTAGATGCGTTGTGTACAATATATTCTGCCTTCAGTCTCTAAAAGTCCTGTGATTCCTGCCTCTTTCCCTAAACTGGGAAGCCCAGTCCCTTGCTTTGGTAGTTGTCTATGGCTTTGGGCAGTCCTTAATAATCTCTTATTCTGTGTGTGAATTTTCAGCAGGGATGAGATTCAAGATGGTGTTGGTCAGTTTGTAGATCTATAAGAGTACATTATAGCTAATTAAACAATCAATCACTCATTATAGCTCCTATCCTGCAATGCAGTAGACATACTGTTGGTATAGTGATCTGGGCTCTTGGAAGTTCATGGGATGGCTGTGTCCCTGCCTAATATTTTTTTCAGTCTTTTATCAAAGCCATCTTGCCAAAGGTGTTACCTAATGCCTGTTAGTGGAAGATGAGTCATCTTTCTCTGAGAGAGGTGATAGTGTAGATTGTTTCTTAATGCTACAAGGATAATGAATGGATTATTGGATGGAAAACTTGGATCATATATGCATTATTAAGCATTTCTTCTAAACTTAGGAAATATATATTGTGTGTAATACATTTTAAGGTTCCTTATGCTATTTTAAAGAATCTGTATTCTGCTGTTTATTATTTATGACAAAAGTAAGCATTTGATTTTAATGCAACTCCTTAAGTAGAAGACCTTGACATTGACTGATTGGAGAAGCAATGTAGTGACAGTATTAAGTACCATTAAAGAGCCATTTTCACCAGAAAAGACAAACTTTAGTAGATTTGTAGAGGGGAATAAATGAGTTTACAGCATGTTAAACCTAGTTTTAGAATCCTACTATTAACTTGTTCTAGCTGGAAGGATTTTCCAAAAGAATAATAATTTGGCAAATTTCAAGTGAACCTTACTTAAAAAAAAATATTTTCTACTGACTGGA